GGGTTAAACCACCTTGGTTCGAATCTTGTCTCTAACTTTCATTACCTCTGTGACTTTGGGCTAGTCAGCCTCAAGTTCATTGTCTGTAGAACAGGGCTCATAACAATATTTACCCATAGGACTATTATGAGATCATGCATGTCAAGCACTGCCTGGATAGAGCATGTGCTCCATAAATGCTAATTACTTCTGTTGTTCCCTGAGTGTCTTGATTCAGTTTAATCAAGCATACTGCAGTCCCAAGACTATGGTCTTCAGGCCTGTTGCCAACCAATGATCCTGTGTCTATGTGACTTGATCATCATTGTCCCTGCTGGCCTTGCTTCTGATTCTGCTTTGCCTCTGGACCCATGCTGCTGCTGCAGTGACCACTCCTGAGGGTCCTGTGCCACTGTGGTCCCTCTCTGCTCATTTGTTGCACTTCCTGCTTCCTTCTGGAGTTGCCACTTCATGCTAGAGATCTGGTGGCTGTCCATGTTTGCCCACAACACTCTCCCTTTGTCAGTGCTCTTTTAATTCTTCTCATTACACAAAGGGAGAGCAGCTCTCAGAGGCTAATCCTATTAATACCTCGTTTTGTCTTTGTTTATACACAAAAGGTTCACTAACATCCCTTTCTAACACTACAAGAGGAGGGAATGGAAGTTTCACTTGTTCAGGACATTGGCTGGATGTTTCCTGTACCAACTCAGTTCCTCTTCTGTGGTCTGTGCTTTGCAAGAACTGCAGTGTTTCAGAACCAGGAACCACTAGGTGGCAGGGGTGTTTCGCTCCCCAGCTCATCATCTTTCCCCTTGTAATCTCAATTACAGCCAAGATACACTTCCTTTCAAAATGAATGAGTTGCTTTTAAACCAACTTACTTATCCATATGAAGTTCAAGGTGAACAATAAATTTCATGTACATTCTCTCGAAAATTCACTGTGATGTTACAAATTCCATCAGAGAGCTCTCACAGGAGTTAAATTACTACAGCAGTTTTATATATAGCCTTTGGCTTGAAAGGGCATGGGAAAACTAAATAAACCTCACCTTGTTTAGGGCATGGCCAAAGCTGATTGTTTTCCCTTCTAGTTGTTAACACCTAGTAGGCCAAAGGTCCACTGGGTTAAGAGTTCATGGACTCCTAGGCTATCATTTCATTAAATAGGATTGTAGACACATCTCTCATTTCCCAATGAGATTCCCAAAAGGTTTTCTTGGGGGAGATGGAATTTCAGGAGCTTCTTGAGTGAGAAACAAGTGTAGGGGCATCCTTTCTTTCATCACTTCCCCACAGGGATCCAACCAGCCAAGTGGAATCTTCTTTTAACAAAACAGATTGGGATGTACAAAGAAGGGAAGAGTGGTAGAGGAGAGGTCAGGAATGCTGATAAAACCCTCAAACTACGTTTGGAACAAAAGGAACAAATTATATTGGGTTGTAATTTTAATGGGAGGAGAAGACAGGGGAAATTGGATGGTGGGCATGTTAATAGGCTAAATCTCAAGTATCATAATAGAGTCTGTAGATAATGCCTAAAATTGAAAAAGCAAGAAATAGCACTACAAGCATGTTATTTAGAGATATGGAGGAAATCACCCTGTGAACTAAAGGCAGAAGCTGTCAATAGTCCTTGCCTGTATAGAACAGCAGAGGAAGGGGTAGGGCTGGGGAGTGGCTGTGCTGTTTGACTTTCTAACCATGACTTTGTTTTACCCTTAAGAATAGGCAAGGATAGACAGCTATTAGGGTAAAATAGATATCTGGGTTCATGGGAACAACTACCACTGAATTCCTAATTTGTGTCACTGTATCTGATAGGAATTATCAAATTCATTCACTTGCTTGTTTACTTAGGAGTCACTTTAGTTTAATATAATGCTACTGCCAGTTAGAAAGAGATTAGAGGCTTCAATTTCCACATGTATATGTTACTTATCCAAAACTGGCATTTTTGAGTAAGGATCTTTAGTCAATATTTTCACAGCAGATCATTAGGGTTTTTCTAAGCTAAAATACTATTTTACAAGCTAAAATGCTATTACTCTTTGCAATAATCCAGAACTAGAACTCTAAAGAGCAAATGTGTCTGTTTTTACTTCCTTCGGAGCACTTTAGCCCAAGTTCTTGAGCAGGCATCCCTCAGCAGAATACAGGCACTCTAGACCAGCAAACCTGCTAGGTCTGACCCTCAAACTTCCCGTCTCTTACTTTCTTTTCAAACCCACATCCAATCCATCAGCAATGATAGGTCATCCTTCAGAATACACCAGAATTTGACAATTCTCACCATACCAATCCCTAATACCCTAGTTTGAGCCATCATCATCTCTCACTGGGACCACTGAAATACCCTGGTAACTGCCTCCATCCCTGCCCCTACCATTCTCCACACAGCAGCCAGAGTGACTGTTGTTTTTAAAAGGACATCATGGTGATAATTTATAAAACACTGGCCTATATGATGTGCCACCCCATCTCATCTTCTCCTCTCTTCCCCTCATTCATTCCTCCCCAGTCACACTGGCCTCCTGGCTCTTCCTAGACCTTGAACAGGTTTCCGCCCTCTGCCTGGAATGCTCTTCTCCCAGATATCCAAATAGCTGGCTCTCTCATTTCCTTCAGGCTCTGCTTTGTCACCTTATCAATGAGACCTTTCCTGACTACCTGATATAAAATAGGCATTCCCCTCCATCTCTCCAGCACTCTCCATCCTCCCCCTTGCTTAGTTTTTCTCCATTGTAACTATCATCACAGGAATGTTATGTATATATTTTCTGTATTGTCTGTCTTTTCCATTTGAATATAAGTTCTAGAACAGGAGGCCAGAGACAGGGACTTTTTTTTTCACTGCTGTATCCTCAGTGCCTGAAAGAGAGCCTGAAATGTAATAGGTGATCAATAAATTCCATTAAATAACAGAAGCTAATATGATACTACTAATAGTTAAGATGTCTTAGAACAATGTTTCTCCAAGTGTGAGACCTGTTTATGAGAGATGATTTTAGATAGTATAAAGGTATACATTAAATAATGCTGAGTCAGGTGGAGGAAATCTTTACAATGTTTTAATCCCTCTCATTATGCCAAGAAGGTCTAGTGCTAGTTTGTCTCTAATACTGATAATTTATCCCTTTAAAGAATAGAGAATGGGCCTTACATTTAGAGCCTACTAACAGCCTTTTGTAGGGAACAGTATCTGGACAGAACTTAATAACCTTGTTTGGTTTTCATTGTATTTATTTTTAAAGGTACCATCTGTTTCAATTACGTGCCTGACAACATGTTAATCTCATTTAAATCTTGCAGCAACTCTTACGAGAGACGTCTCATTTTGCATATGAAGAAACTGTAATGTTTCCCATGAGACCAAAGTTTTCTGAGATAAAATTCACATAACATAAAAGTCGCAATTTAAAATATTTTAAAGTTTACAATTCAGTGTCTCTTAGTATATTTACAACGTTGTGGAACCATCACCACTATCTAACTCCAGAGCATTCTCATCACACCGAAAAGAAACCCCATACCCTTTCGCTATCACCCCTATCTCCTCATTCCTCCCAGCCCTAAGCAACCACTAATCTACTTTCTATCCCTATAGATTGGCCTAATCTGGATATTTCATACAAATGGAATCATATATGTGGTTTTGGGGACCTGGCTTTTTTCACATAGCATAATGTTTTCAAGGTTCATCCATGTTGTAGCATGTATCAGTACTTCATCCGTTTTTATGATTGAATAATATTTGATTGTATAGATATACCACATTTGTTTATCTATTCATCATGTGATGGACATTTGGATAGTTTCCACTTCGGGGCTATTATAAATAATGCTGCTAGGCACATTCATTTATAAGTTTTTGTTTCAACACGTTTTCAATTCTCTTAGATCTATACCTATGAGTAGAATTGCTGGGTTATACAGTAATTCTATGTTTAACTTTTTGAGGAAAGGCCAAACTGTTTTCCCAAGTGGCTGTAGCATTTTAAAAGCATTCCCACAGGCAATGTATAAGTGTTCCATTGTTCCACATCCTCACTGGAACTTGAAACTGTCCATTTTTTAACAACTTTAGCCACTCAGGTATTTCATTGTAGTTTTAACCTGCATTTCCCTAACAACTAGGGATGTTGAGCATCTTTTCATGTGATTATTGGCCACATGTGTATTTTCTTTGGAGAAATATTCAGGCCTTTGCCCATTTTAAAACTGGGTTATCTTTTGGTTGAGTTGAAAAAGTGTCCTTCTCAGAGAACTTAAAAATATGTATTTACAGAGAAATATTAAGTAAACAATAGTGCAATTGGGCAAAAACACTAAAGATGATATATAACTCTAGGACCAGTTTGACCAACACTGACTCAGATGCTAAAAGCAAGAATTCTGGGGGCTGGCCCAGTGGCGTAGTGGTTAAGTTTGCACACCCTGCTTGGCTGGCCTGAGGTTCTCGGTTCTGACCTACACCACTCCTCAAGCCATGATGTGGCCACCACCCACATACAAAATAGAGGAAGACTGGCACAGATGTTAGCTCAGGGCCAATCTTCCTCACCAAAAAAAAAAAAAAAAGAATTCTGGAGTCACACCATCCGGGTTCAAATCCCAGCTCTGCCTCTGAAGTGCTGTGTGTGACACTTTGGGCAAGATATTTAACCTCTTTAAGACTCAGTTTCCCCGGCTTTAAAACGGGGATGGCCCGTGCCTCTTCAAAGAGTTGCAGGAATAAAGGAAATGACGCACGTGAAGCGCTTACTCAGTGCTTGACACGCCTAAGCACTCTATAAATATCAGCTATTACGATGACAGGCGACGAGGCCGGCGGCCTCTGTTCAGCTGGCAGAGGATTCTGTCCCCAGCAGCAAGAACAGACCACCCCACACCGGCGCCACGCTGCACAGACCTTTACGCGCATGTTCTTTCCACTACCTTGCGCCGGCACCGCCCCCAGCTCCTGGCCGTTGTGACCGCGCCGCCTGATTTCCGTTTCCGGAGGTATCGAGGTGGCTTCCGGCGGCGTGACCTGGGAGCGCTGGGCCGGGGGAGTGCCGCAGCCGGAAGGGTCTGCGCGGGCGACCGGTAACTGGGTGGTGGGTGGGAGTGGCGGTGGCCGGGTGTGGCGTCGCTGACCCGCGGGAGGGAGGTCCCCTGGCGGAGCCCTTCTCGCTGCCTCTCCCTGGCCTTCCCCCGCTCCCGGGGTTCCTGTGACGAGGGCCTTGCGGCTGGGGGTCGGGAGACGGGGGTTTCATTCCACCCTGCCCACTGATTGGCTCTCTGACCTCTGGCGGGGTGCGTTCTTTCGTGGGCTCCAGCCACGTTAATTAGGAGATGGAGGTCGTATTCACAGTGATTTTGAGCTCCTTAAGGGCAAGAACTGACTTTTATTAGTGTTAAACATTGTCGCCTGTCCCAGGCACAGAATAAAGACAATATATACGTACTCTGTGCCTACTTAAATTGTGTTGGGTCACAAAACCTCTGAAAATCTAGTGAGAGCTATTGATTCCCCACTACTCTAACCCTCCCCGCCCCCCCCCCCCCCAATGCTAAGATACAGAAAATTTGGTTTACTGTTTCGGATATTTCACAGATCTCTCTTAATGCCCATCCATGGATCCCAGAGCCTGGCCTGTAGTAGGCATTCAAATATTTGTAGTTATTAGATAGTAGATGTTCAGTTAATCAGTTGTAAAAGCATGAATTACTATCCGCTTCACAGGAGGAAGATAGATTAGCTAATTTTAATCATGAGTCTGGCAGTATGCTATTCTCACTTAAGTCTCCCAGCGGCTTTGGGAGAGAGGTATTTAATTCCTATTTTGCAAATGAGGAAATTGAGGCATAGGAGAAGTAACTTGTTTTAGGTCTTCAACCTATGAACAGTGAGGGCAAGAATTCAAACCCCCATTTGTCTGAAACTCGAAAGCCCCGTGTTCTTAAATGCTAGCTGAAAAAGGCGTAGATGCAGAAATGTATTTGAATGTGCTCTAGCAGCCTGTTTTTGGATTAACTGTTGTAGTTATGAGGTGGCTATCATCAACATAGAATATCCCAAACTGAACACTACATGCTGTGTAAATACTCTTATTTGTCTGCCTCCTTTTCTTCCATAGTGCCTATATTGCTTGTTTAATAACATCATATTTTACGTCCTGCACTCTGTGCACGTTATTCAATCCTTCTGTCGTTGGTGAATATTGGTTCAGGTGTGTTGACTGAAAATGGTTATATCAGTTGTGTTGCTTTTTTCTGCCAGTGCTCCAAAGCAGATGTTTTGAATTATAGTTGAAATACGAGGTGATAATGTTTGGGCCTCATTTCTTTTTCTTTTCTGTACTGATTTTTAAGGGACTATATTAGGAATCTTGGAAGCAGTGCCAACATGTCTGATGTTCAGGAAGCCACTAACCAACTCCTAGACGTGAACCTGCATGAGAACCAGAAGTCTATACCAGTGACAGAAAGTGGCCCCAGAAGTGAGTCCGAGCAACTCCAAGTCACTATTGGAGCCACTGTACCTACTGGCTTTGAGCAAACAGCTGCAGATGAAGTGAGAGAGAAATTGGGGTCGTCATGCAAAATCAGCAAAGGCCGGGGCAAGATATATTTTGAAATTTCAGTGGAAAGTCTGGCTCAGGTTTGAATGAAGCAATATTTAAAATTGTTTCCTAAATAGGTCATTTTATCGTTACTTTCTGGTTTATAGACCCCTCTGGAATCCTTTTTGCTTTTCTTTGCTCTGCCCCGATCAGAAGATTTTAAAGTATAACTGCATTTTCTATTGGGTATTGATTTGTAAGTTTGACTAGTAGATTTGCTGTATTTTTAAAAAGATCCTAGTATTTCCTGAGGATGAATTCACCAGAAAGAATCCTGTGTGACTTATGAAGAAATTCTGAGTATCTGCTACACATCTTTGAGTTTATTTACTTCAGCATCTAGCTGAAGTTTAGACTTTAGTGGTGAAACATAAAAGGAGAGATTTTTCTTTTGATCTGTGTCAAAGAAATTCTTGCTGAAAAGTAATTAGGAATCTGAAGGTGAGAAGTGAAAGTCAACAAACTGTCATCCTGTAGGATAAAAGCTAAGCTGTTTCTTATTACCACATAAGAGATATGAGGGCAGGGATTGTTGTCTGGTTTTTTCTGCCTATATCTCCCAAGCTCTTAGTGTCTAGCATATAGTAGGCACCCAGTGAATATTTGTGGGATAAATTGGTAAGCGAGTATTTTTCATCTAGTGTTTCAGTTAATAACCTCAGCAGCTTTGCGAAGACGGGCATTGTTGTTACCCTCATTAGTCATTAGGCTTAGGAATAAGTGATTTGCCCAGGGTCGCTCAACAACTAGTCACAGAGCTGGAGC